GAGAGTGGGGAGGGTGAAGGTGAAGAAGATGAGGATGAAGACTATGAGCGTTCTGAAGATGAGAAGTCCAAGGGCACCCCGGCTGCTTTAGAAGGTGCCAGTGATGTGCTGAGTCAGGCGGCAGAAAAGACAGAAGAAAAGGCAAAACAAATCAGAAACTCAACTACGCACAAGCCACAGTGGGACAAGCAAATGCGTGAACCTCTAGGATTCTCGAAGAGGAAGATGTTGCCATCTTCGATTTGCTTATAGCATGCCTGGACTCCAAGCTTGACCAAAGGGCGGTCATCTCGTCTGAGATCTTGAAGTTCTTCCATGCGGTTCCGGCCCAGGTAGTTGAGGTTCTCGTTCATAATGTTCCAGTGGGCGCACTCTGGCTCGACAATGACCAGGAGTGGTTTGAACTTGGCCTGATCTTCCTGCCAGGTCTGTTTGGCGGCCTTGTCCTTGAGGTTGAGGCCGTACAACAAATCAAACGGCTGACAGGCTCGTAGATCATATCGATGGGCCAACTGCGATATCTCTGCCTGCCCGGCGTAGAGCTCCATGATGTCAATCTTGGGAACGTGGTTGGCGTCAGGAAGGTCGTGGTAGATCTTGGACTCCGCGTTGAGGACCTCAGCCGATTTCTTCATGGTGTCGGCCAACCTTTTCATCCGCCCGTCGAATTCGGGCATTGTCACGATGGTCTCCGCCTCTGACTCCAGGCTGAAGCGCTGAGTTACGTCCGGCGGTGGCCTGCTGAGAAGGCTCCAAGCGTCGATCTCCTGCTCGGGGTCGTCCATGTAGCCGTGTTCCATGGGACCCTGAGTGGCCAGTGGCTTCTTGGAAGGTTTGGCCCTTTGTGGGTGAATCTTTGGGGTCGCTCTGTTGAAGCTCTCCAAGCCAGGCGGTCCCCTCATAGATCTCGTCGAGGCTGAAGGGCGGTTGTCCGAGGCATGGGCGCCCCCCCCCCCTAGAGAAGCCCAGGCCCAGGCCCCAGTTGCTGGAGATTGAGGACTGATTGAGGACTGATTGAGATGATGGGATGTCGTGGACTTGCTGATAGATGATGGTTGATGGACTTCTGTGGGGGAATCAATGAGAACTAGTATGTTTGAATCAGATTGATGAGAAATTTGATAGATTACAAGTCGACATTTTTGCTAGACACGTTCTTTCAAAACAACTAACATTTTCAAAAAAAACACAGAAAACCACAAATCACAAAAACGCGTAAAAACCACACCCGCATAACGTCGTTTTCTGAAAAAGAAACATGCTCTGCAAACTGCTTGAACTCTGTGATATCAATTGCAATGTGGCCATTGATCATGAGGAGAGGGACTGTGACGTGAAGCTTGCTAAAACAAACGCGCCGTTCTGCAAGGTCGATGGTCGCGCCGACTTCGGTCATTGGTATGGAAGCCTTGAGGATACAGGGGGACATCATGCCAAGTTGCCCGACCCTTGCCGAACTCGAAAAACTCTTGGAGAGGTTGCTGAAAGGGTTTCCAATCAAAGAACTCCAGCTTCTTTGTGCGCGACTCGACCCATCCTTCTCCAGCGCACATTCTTTGGCGCGCAGTGTCCAAGATCACGAAGCCGGCAGCCTTGGCATCGGCAAGGAGGACCTCATGGCCAAAGTTCTCGGCCACAAAAACTTGGTGCGAAGCATGGCCGGGCTCATAAGTGTCCTCATCGTCGGAGAAGTGCTGGTGGTTCATGAAGTGAACCGTCTTTGGACCCTTGCCGCCAGGCTGGCGGTCGTCGGCCTTGCCTTTGGACTGGCCTTCGGATCCCTTCTTGGGTGCGGAGACCGAACATTCTTGATCTCCCTGCCAGTGGCCTTGTTGACCGCAAGCTGCACAGTGTGTCGTCCTCTTGCGATCGGCCACGCTCTTCTTGGCGGCGGGTGGTGTTCCAAATTTGCGAGCTTGGATCACCCCAGCTAGTTAGCGAGCGGTCACAGTCATGATCTCATTGATCTGGTTGCTCAAATCGTCTTCTTCGGGGGGACCAGGGTCAGCATCCTGATCTTGAGGCTCTTGATCGATACCTCTTCATCGTCCTGCTCCGGGACTGTCTCCAAGGTGTCATCCTCCTGGCACTCGTCGGGGTCGACGGTCTGGTCGTTCTCAGTGATGTAGGCTCTTCGAACTGGTTGTCCAGTACGATAGCCATTGTCCTTGCGCTTGCCCTTGCCGTCGCCCTTGGAAGGTCGCATGGGCCTTCTGTCATTGGTGTTGGTGCCGAGCGGTGCCGGCGCTGGTCGATGATCCGGCCATTGAAAGAGCATCACATCCTTCACGGTGTCGAACTCCAAAGATTGCATTGTACCAATGAGGATTTGGCGTTGATGTTGATGAGATAGGCGTGCACGTTCTAATAGTCGCGCGCCTCGTGCTTCTGGGTCGTACATCTGTTCCACATTGATGCCCAGGGTGGAGAGTGTTCTTTCAACCCTCCTGTATCTGTTCACGAAAGGCCTCATGGCCTCATTTGGAGCTCTGGTGATGTGCTGGTAATCGGCGAGGACTTTGCGCTTGACGTGGACGGCTCTGGTTTCCACGGCTTTGCGGACCACACCGACGATGTAGTCCACGCCATTCTCCGAGAAGAGCTGTTCAACAGGAGCGTCTTCCAGCTCCTCTTCCAACTCACCTTTCAAGCTCTGGTAAAGGAGGAGTCCAGTCTCGCGAAGAGGAACGTAGTTCTTGGCCTGAAAGACCCACATGCGCACCCGCTTCTCCCATTTCTGGAAGGCGCGTAAATCTGACTTGTCGTAATGCCACTGAGGTGCAAGCGGGACAGCGCCTCCACGGAACTTGATTCCGGGTTGTGGTCCCTTCAAAGTATTCCATGTTGACTTGCTGGATGAAGAGTCCTTCTGGTTAGGGTCTTTCTCCTTGATGTCGTCGAGGGTCAGGACATTGGGAGGTGAGCCAACGGGAGTTCTCCGTGATCCTCCTCTGCGGTTCGAGTGTCGTGAACCGTCTGAGCCAGCACCTGGCATGGGTTGTCCAGGTTGTCCGGGACGTCCAGGTAGTCCGGGCTGTCCATGTAGGTCAGGTTGTCCAGGTGGTTGTGGAGGATCTGAAGGTTGGACCGACGGGTCGTAAGTCAGTTGTTCACTCTCAGCCTGCTCCTCGTCGTCGTAGTAGCCCTCATCATCGCCATCGGGCGGTGGGGGACCATGCCGAACACGGTGTCGTGGTTCATGCCGTAGGCGTTGTCCAGCAGAAAGACCTGGTACAGAGGGACCTCTTGGTTCGGGTCGTTGAGATACTCCTGAACGTCGTTGGTGTTCAGGGCCATTCAAAGAGGTAATCCATGGTGAAGTCGTCACAGGGTTAGCGTATGGTTGGGCTCGTGGAGCTTGGAAGGTCGAAGGGTTGCCAAAATACCATCCTCCAGGACCGGGAGCATTGAAGCGCTGGCGCGCGTCAGCCTCGCCGCACTCCAAGCAAAGCCACTGTCCGCGCTGAAGTCGAAAAGCGTCGCTACCACACACACGGCATGTCCAAGTCGACTCTGAGGACTCACCGAAGTCATAGCTCAGCGATCCAGTCTCCGGGGATTCGGAGTGATCGGCATTGGGCTCATGTAGTGCATCTTCTCGTGACATCAGCGGTGGTCTCCTCAGCGGGCGCGGATCGGCCTCGAGGATAGGCGAATCCTCGAAAGCTCCAAGGTCATCAGACCATCCAGCAGCAGCTCGCGCGAAGGCCATGGAACGAGGCGGACGGAGCGAGTTCGGATGCCCGCTTTGGGGCTCCGCTACCAACTCGCTGCAGCGTTTGCAAACACACTGCAGGGCTTTTTGTCGCAAAAGCGATGCTTGGCTCTGGTGCACCTGCGGGTGAAGGTCTCATGAAGCGGGTGGTTCAGAATGCTCAACATTGTCATAAAATACAAAACTCAGTTCAACTGGAAATAGCTAAAAGAAAAGAGAACTTCGGATAAGACCAAGCTTGCAAAGGCCAAAAATCAGCTGTAGAGGTTGTCCTTTTGGTCTGCCACAAGGCTTGTCTCAGCTTCCTGCATATCAGAAGCGAAGACAAGCGAGAAAGGCAAAGAACAAAGGAAAGCAGAAAAAAAGCTACAACAATACTCCACAAAAGCAGCTTCATTTCTATAAAATGAGCTTCCCTAGCTTCTGTAAGATATCAACTGCCTGTCTAAAGTCTCGTTGCTTCTGTAAGATGCCGTTGCTCCTGCAAGTCTTTTGCATCTCCTGTCTTGGCAACCTTTGTTTGTGCCAACTCTGTCTTTAGCTTCGACACCTGCAAGCAGCTTCTCAGGGGTTGTGCAGTCTCCTACACTTCTCAACGGGCCTCATTCTTGGCAAATGTTATTTGATCCTGAAGGGATTGCTGCAGCATCTCAAAGCCATGACGAGCAGACTCCTGTCCGGCGCAAACTTTTGCAACAAGAGAAGCTGAAGCATTTTGCTCAAACCCACCTCTTTGGCTCGTAGTTCGTTGATCTGCGTACTGGCCTTGTCTTGCATGTCTTCGAGCAAATCGACCTTAGCATCAGCACAAGAATCGTATTTTGGAGAACCTGTGGTTGCTTGATACTGCTTGGACTTGGACTTATATAATTTTGTCCAATCCTTCTGAGAGCATTACGATGCTCCCGCTTTCATAGGCCAGTGGTTCAATACTCGGCACCTTACCGCCAGGTCATATCTCAGGCTCTGCAGCCTGCCTGCTTGCTCCAAGCTGCACCTTGTCTGAAATTTGCAGGAGGGCTGCAAGACCTCGTCAAAAAATATAACATGGCTATCAATCTGAAGAGTGTTCCAGAAAAAGATAAAACGAAGGATTGAAACCTCGCTGAGTCTCTGGCCATCCGTATCAGCCTGGGTATGGGAAAGCTGGCCGCTTCATCAATATGTTCCCAACACCGGAAGCATGGTTAGGTGGTGCAAGACACGAATGTGAGGTTCAACAAAGTGGTTCTCATGGAGCTCTCTAGGCCTTCTTCAAGCTTCTGTAGTCAAAGAAATGCAGCTGTCACATTCTGAGAAATCTCAGGCCATTGGGATCACCTAACAGTGTGCAATATCCTTGGAAATTGTGTTTGCCCGAATAATACCTTTGCCTTAGCCAGACCGCAAGTTGCATAGTTGTGCCCGCTAGCCTCTTGCCCCTTTCAAGTCATTAGTTTAGTATGGCTCATCTTGGCTTCTTTAGCTTATTTAGTGACACTGTCCGTTGCCCAAAGACTCAACCGAAAACGGTCAAGCAGCAGCACCAGTGGCACCAGATGCCAGAGCATTGATTGTAGCTTGAGCATCTGGAGCCTTCACCAGTCAATCTGTAGAAGCATGCCCTCGCCTTCAGTCAGAAGTCCCACTGCCCTGCCTCCTGAAACTGTAAAAGTCCAGACTTGCCACGACCCTTGGAGGCCTAGAAGAAGCTTAAACAGCCAAGAGGCCAAAACAGCAAAACTGGTCTGGACTCTGTCATTAGGATACCGAAATTGCCTCGCCTTCTCCAACATCCGAACTGCTTGCTGCATGGATTCTGCAGAGTCCGTCAAGTCCTGACTATTGCAATCTATCACGCGGTGTATATGCATAGAGGCGGGAAAGCTGCTTAGCATGCTGGGCACCTTCTGAGCACTCTCGAACTGAGCTTTCTCCTGGCACACCACAACTGGTGCCACAGTTTGCTACAAAGCTTTTGGCAAAAAAGACATGCAAAGGAGTCCAGTCTAAGCGCTTCAATGGAGACTAGTCACCAGCCCATGGGCTTTGGCAAAAAACAAATTCTATTGTAGCGTTTAATGCTCTTAGCCATCGAATGCTGCCATCCGTTGCCTTGTTGCGAAGGCTTGTCACTGACTCTAGGTTTGCCTCAATGAAAGCAAAAGAGACAAAGAGGGAGGGAGAAAAGCAAGAGAAGCAAGAGGGAGAAAGAGAGAGAGGGGGAAAAAGGGGGCAAATAGACGTTCGTTTTGTTGGAAGGTGCAAGGCATTGACCTAAACACTCACATCATCTCACAACTAGCGTGGTTTGGCCATTCTTAGCACTTGCCTCATCGGACTCAATTCCAGAGATGGCCTCCTGTCACACTCCGTCGTTTCGTCGCTTCAATCGAGCATGATCTTGAATCTTAATATATCGTTTATAATTGTCAGAGCCCTTAAACAAGACTGACCAAGTCTTCAACGAGTCTTTAACCTTCTCTTCTGGACATCCATCCTGAAGGCGGCGACTTAGAGATTGGATCGTCCCTTCTGCTTTTGAGATCCTGCCACAAGTAACAGAGGCAAAATTTTACAAACGAAACAATGTTGCCGCTGGCCTTGCTTCTAGTTCCTGCTTTGCAACACTGCTACTGCGGATGGAAGAACCTGCCACGAAGCAAACCAAATTCATCAAAATTCACACCTTCCCCAACAAAGCCAACCGCGCTTAGTACAAAGTCCAGAGCCTAAGTCGCCTGCACGGGTGTCGCAGAAAAGGTCGTATTCCTGCAATTTGGGGGAGGTCTCAGCCAAGAACCAGCTCCTCACATTACGTCATGAAGACCCCTCCTTCAGCCGTTCTTCGGCCTCAATTCGGTTCTTTCTCGCATTGGCCTCACGGTTTTCAGGACTTTTTCGTCGATGTTGAATCCCCGTCGTTGGGCAAGTTGATCAAAATTATTCCAAATGACCACGCGGAGGAAATTCATTGGACGTTTCAGGTTCGCGAAAGCATGCGAGAGCCTGCATGTTGCCCAAGAGCTCCAGGACCTGCGAGAAAAAAATAAAACGGACATTTGACACTCGGTAAAATGCTGGTGGTGGTGCAAGGTCACCAAGATATCAAGAACAAGAAAGACAAAAAAAAAAAAAAACAACACACCAGACATTGTTGACAATTGGGCAAGTATCTATTTCATGTAGGGGAAGTTTCGTGCATTTGCCCTCAACCAGCAACTGCCTTGGCGATGGGGCTTGAAGCCGCCAAATGAAGCAAGGCCAACAAAAAGGTGATTTGCAGCGATACCTGCTTGCAAGCAGCAACGTTGGAAAAGTGCGTGGCCAATTCATCATGGAACTGTGGGACCATGTGTGAATGGATCCTCAAGAGCACAAAGACAAGCGACCCAAAATGAACAAGTGGCACGCATGCATTAAGCGAAAACAAATTTCCAACCAACACAACTACTTCATAATGAAGCGCGCTGACCCTATAGCCTATAGCCCTTACGCTTCTCTACCCTATGCGGCAGTCTAGTCTAGTGCACATATTCGCCTGCAAGGCGTGCTCAATCTTATGAGAGGAACGGAGCACGCTATATGCACGCACAAAGCAAAAGAACCTTAAACAAGTCTGCGACGTCCACGATGACGGAACGAGTCGCCCGATTTGGGAAAAAAACACTGTCACTTGTCAGTGGCAGAAAGGGCGACGGTGTTCAGATACCATTTTGCGGCACTGGCACCCGCGGCTCCACGAAGCTAGCCATGTTTTGGCTTCAGTGGAGCAGCAGTGGATGGATCAGGCCAGGCGAAGGCTCGTCCACTTGGCATAAAGGCAAAGGATGCGCCTCTTGCCCTGTTCCAAAGACTGGTCGCACAGGCGCAAACGGCAGGAATCCGATTGTGACCAGCCTGCTCTGCTCTACCTGCGCTCGGAGAAAGCGCAACTCTGCGGTGACCAACTTTGAGGCGCGGCCGTGCTTGCTCCTCGTAGCGATGCCCTTTGTGACTAGTATATAGCTTCTTGTTCCTAGTAGTAAGGCCAGGAGCTGCTAGTAACCGTCCTTGCTCCTAATAGTGATACTAAACACTAGCAATGTCAAAATGTCCTTTGTTCGACTTTCTTTTGCCCGCGAAGCCTCCCTTGTCTTTTTTGTATTTGCTTTCGCCTGTTCCAACCTGATAGAAATTTACGTATTGGCCATATGGGTGGATGGCACCAGTCCAACGAACAAGTCCTCCTTTGCCTTTTCACCCGAAACAAAACCAAGTCGTATTTCCACATCTGTCCTTACCATTGTGTGTGCCCTGGCCGATATGGTGGCGAAGAAACAAGTGCCATATACCTTTCGTGTTGCCGTATCCACTAGAAGCTGCATAGGCCCAGAACTTGAACTCATTGTTGGTACGCAGGCGTACGAATCCATGTCGGTATGAAGGCTCATGGAAATGATGACGCGTTCTCTTTGGCTGTCACTGCGAGCAGCTTGCACAAGAAAGATAGGCAAACGAAGGTTGTCTAACAGCGGCAACCTCTCCAGCGATCATCCTGAACCAATACAATAAGTTCTTCGATCGTCTCATCGCCAGAATCTCCTCCATCGTTGCCACACAGTTTGCATTGTAAATGGGCACATCTACCCAGGGGCCATGAAGAGTCCAGTGAACAAAGCCGAATGCACCCAGCCATGTCCTAAATAGCTGTTGGATGCTGTTGGAACCTCCCCAGGAACGGGTAACTCACTCCTTTGACAAAACAAGAACGACTAGCGCTTGTAGTGGACCACTGCAGTCAAATGCAGCTGCGCACTGTCAAGCGTGGACTTGCAGGTCTCAGCGGACAGAGAGGGCACTTGAGCTCACTCGATCAGATCTCGAAGGGAGTCAAGCGAATGGAGCCGCACACTCTACCTTGCTCCGAGAACTGTAGCTCTACTTCCAGTGGACTTGGGGCGGTCCGCTGCATGGAACAGAACCACAAGCTCCGCTACTACTTTGCAAGGACAAAATGCTCCAGCAAACTGGCGGAGCTTGGTCTGTGCCCAATCTAATCTAGTAGTAGCGCACGTTCCCTGGTGAACACCAAAAAGCCGTGCAACCAACAAGCGCAGTGCAACGGAGCGAGTTCTTTTGCTACAAGCGTGAGGAATTCCCCTGTCTTTTGCCAAATGGCATGTTGCTATATGGTCGTTGTACTGTTGGACCATGTGTGAATGAGTCCTCAAGAGCACTAAAACAGGTGAACCCACATAAACAAACCCTCGCCAAAAAAAGAAAAGAACTCCCAATCCAGCTCCCAAGGTCGGACCATACCAAACTTTGTGGTGGCTTCCGCTGAGGCTTCGTTATCCTCACAACACATCGAAGCAACACATCCTCTGGTGTGAAGCCAGTGCAAAACCGTGCAAAGCTCCAAAGCTTGGGCTGCTGCAGGAATCTAGGCGGGTAGCCTCCTAGCAGAACTACGCTTGAGCCTAGAGTCAGCTAGCCGCAGCTGGCCGAGCCTTTGTCAAAGCGGCGAACACTATTATATAGTAGAAGTTGGACAGACTTGATTCTCAAGCTGTTAGCAAGGCCTGCGGCAAAGCAGGCAAGACATCCAGGTGCCGTGCTTGTCCAAGCAAGGATGTGGGACAAGTCCTTTCATCACTTCCAACATTCCCCGAATGTACTTTCTCTGACTGACTCCAACCTCGAACCGAGTTAGCGTGCGAGCCAGAGAATGCAAAGGCCTAGGGCGCCAAAGGAAAGAACACTGCTTTGCAGTCCGCTCTCAAAGCTTTGAAAATCCACCACACTAGATCCTAGCCTGAAAAACTTGTGCTTAAAACCTTCTAGGAAGTAAGGACTCCGCGTACCCTCTGAAGCATAGAGCAAGTTCAGTAGATAGTAAGTTGGTCGACCAGGGCCTTGGTTGTCTGGATTCGCACTTCGTCGCAACACATAGCGATTCATGGCTAGAGCCAAGGGGCAATGTAAGGCAACCGTCGCTTGCCAACCCCGACTCCTGGTGCAAAATCAATGTGTATATATATGATTATAGTTATATGTATAAAGCGCAAATACCAAATCGCCTTACGTGCTTGCAAACTAGTGAAGTACGACTCGCATGTCATCTTTCTGGCACCTGGTAGGAATGACTTCAGCACATTTGATCAGCCGGACCTGCTGTCAGAGCAAGGATTGAATCGCTTGTCCTTTATAGAATCGAACAAAATGTCAGACCGCATGCAATCTTAACACCTTTCACAGTGCTACCAGCAACGTTTTTCCAACCTCCACAAAGTGCTGCGGGGTTCCAGATTCCTCCTCCTCTTCCTTCTGCTCGTTCAACTGGGCAGGACAGCTAGCGAACCTCTCTTCTGTGTAGAAGCAAAGGATGCAATAGGCCTTGTACCCATGGATCACACGATGGGGCCACGAGTTGGTCCTTTGGAGTAGCTCTTGCACTGGCTCAGCGTTTGCAAACAGCCAAGGTCTTTATAAACAATCGCTCACTGGCAAAAGAAGAGAAACTAGGCAGCTTTCATGAATGGCCCGAAGTGGGTAAGTGCAAAGTAATTGCAGTCTTTGGATGGAGGCTTGTCCACCCTTGAACAAATATGTCTTTACTATCCTGTGTCTTGTTTTATATATCCTTAGTTTGCCTTCGTGGAACAAGACAAACCACGTGTTAGCAAAGCACATACAGTAGCTGAAAGCTGAAACCAGGTAGCTTAACGGGAGCCATAAACGGTCCGCTTCTTATATCCCTCCTTGTATCATGCTACTCAGTGCATGTTTCTGCATACTTTGTGGGGTCAGCCCTGACTTGCAGTTTGTGTGATAGCTCTGAGGCTCGTGCTGGTAAAAGCGATATGTCTTCAGAAGTGCTTCAGGAAGAAGTCCCTGCCAAAACCAGCAAGTACTAGTCAGGGAGAAAAACACATGCAGCTCATGGGTATTGCTGAAAGCTGCAAAGTATTCTGAGCTTGCCAGCAAAGCTATGCTTGGTATCCAGACCAAGCTCAATTGAAGCCATCATACAATGCAATAGAAAAGTGTGAATTCCACTGCGCAGGTATGAGACCATTCATGGCGAACAAGCAGTTTCTTCGTATGGACTACCACATGTCATATGTATATACGTGTATATATATACACAATATATGTGTATTCATATATGTATATATATATATGTGTTCTATACGTCCATTGTAAAGGTTGTGAGGACATCTATAGCTTTGCCACCGATGTTCGGCACTCTGCCTCCAGAACTCGCTGGGGCAAATACTGCCTCAAAATCGAGGTAAATATTGAGGGAGAGAATTCACAAAAAATCAAAGGACGAAAGAATACAAAAGAACCTTTCTCTTTCATCGCCATGCCAATGTTTTCATCTCGATGTTCCGTTTCTTTCGTTCTGCATAAGTGCATCTTTTTGGTCCCCATACTCCCCTTCGCGTTGTGCTCGTTCCCACACTGTTCGTTCACCTCCGAATTCAGCGTCTCAAGGCCAATGCGCTGCAGGCTTTGATTCACCGGATTGTTCTCAGAAGGCACCAGCCCTTATGCTGTTCAGGCGCAACATGTTTTCGCCTTTTCTGCTATTCATGTACAACAGCTCTGTGAGTCATCTCAAATACTGTAGATCGACTGAAATCATGGTAAACCTTGACAAACATCCTTGAAAAGAAAACCCTGTACACACAAATTGTAGGCAATAAAGTATGCTATGATGCTGCACTTCACTAATTGTGTCCTGAAACTTGTATATAACTGTATAGATGTGCTAGCGTGGGCTTTGTGTAGCCTGACTGTACACGGCTCCCACAATGTCATATCAAAGTGTGGAAGAAGTGTCTCTCACCCCTCACCGGAGAAACTACATTGCGCTTTCAGCTCGTTCGAGAGTCTGTTCCATGTCTAGCAAAGGTTATTGGCAAGGCCAAAAGTGACTGTCAAAAAGCCAGAGTACTTGGTGGTTGATCAATATTCTTTCATCCTGGAATGGCCATTCTTCGCGGAAAAAAGATATCTTTCGCGGATCTTTCGCGGCCTCATCGCGAAGCATGGTCCTACAACCATGTCCAGCTAACATGAGCCGGAACATGTCATAGTATCACAAAATAGGGACAGACATCTTGCAGCATGACCACAGTAGAAGGTTGAACGTTTCCACAGCTACTCAGGGTCACTTGCAGCATCTGTGGCACAACTCAACCCAATCCTCGTGCCAGCTACCAACACAGGGTGATGCAGCTTGGGGAATGTTGGGGGGCCTCAAGCTGGGAACCTGGACTTTAGCGGCACATTCGCGAAACTTTCGCGGATCTTTCGCGAAATTTCACTGGCGCTTTCCCGGGGAAGCCGTATGCAAACATCTGCACAGCCAGTCAGAGCAGCTGCAGGTCGTTGCCTCACTGTCAGGGCTGCGCCTACTCAGGTTGCTTGTCTATGATAGTGGGGACAGGAATCGGAGAATCCTTTACGCACTGTCAGGGCTGGGCACGGAAATATTGAGGCTTCAATCTGTGACATGGGGACACTTCCGCCCACCGGCTCTGCCGGAAGATTGCCTTGTATTTCTATTCTTTGTCAGTAAGGAAAACGTATGAAAGCGATGACCGTCGATAAATCTTTCGCGGAAAAAAAAGATACTTGCGCGAACCTCATCGCGAATCTTTCGCGGATGGTTCTAACAACATCTGAAAGGCTGTTTTATATAAAACTCCTTACACGGGGTTTTCGATCAACTCCCACTTGTATACTCATGTACTCAGAATTTCAAGCGCCATGCAGCTTAGATCCTGAGGCTCTCCCTGGTGGGTCATGCTATTGGGGCATGGCAAGCTTGCAAGCACATCAACATGTTTCTCCTTGCAGGATTGTGCCGCAGAGCCTGCCTTCATCATCCTCCTCCTCGCTGACATCCCCTGCAATCTGCACAAATCACATTTGCCGCCACATATCTTTTCGATATTTGGAGACAATCAGCACAAAGAATTTTATCCTCTAAGTTTCTAAGCTCCATGCCATCAGACCATTGCTCTGTATCGTCCAGTGGTTCCCGCCCATCTTCCCCAGTTCCTTTGCTTGGTGTGCGACCTCAATGACTCAAGGAATGCTTTGACTTTTTCTGGTTTGAACACTTGTGTGACTTTGAAACTCTAGAGATCTGAGCAAATACAAATCTCCACCAAAAGAACAAACAACCAACCAACCAACAAACAAACAAAGCGATAATAACGTTCCGGTCCCCTTGTCCCGCGCGCCCGCATGCCCATGACTGACACCCCTTGTTCACTCAACTTTACGTATACCCATCACCGATTAATGAGCAATCAATCAGGCGGACTAGTTCCTTCCGGCCTTCCTACTGGCACCCTTGCCCCCGAAGCTCAGAATATCGCAAGAAGCATAGCACTGGCGTAGCACATGAACCGATGGCTCTTAGAACCATAGCACAGACGTAAAGCGTGAAACCCAGAGTTATGTCCGCGGGAAGCGCTTTCAAAAGGCTCCAGGGCTCGCACGCACCAGGGTTCGTGAAAGTACGACACTCGGAGGGAAATTCTTGGGCTCAGTCTCTGGTTTGCCAGCCTCTCACATCATGGAAGTCTTCTCATGTGTTCTCAATAACTCTAATAATTATTAGGTTGGAGGCCATCCCAATTAGGTTGGAGGCCGTCGCCGCAAGGTTGGAGGCCATCGCTGATAGGTTGGAGGCTATCGCTAGTAGGTTGGAGGCTATCGCTAGTAGGTTGGAGGCCATCGCTACTTGGTTGGAGGCCATCTCTATCGGGATTAGGTTGGAGGCCGTCACCGCAAGGTTGGAGGCCATCGCTGATAGGTTGGAGGCCATCGCTAGTAGGTTGGAGGCCATCGCTACTTGGTTGGAGGCCATCTCTATTGGGTTGGAGGCCACCGCTAGAAGGTTCTAGGCCGCTAGTAGGTTGGAGGCCATCCCAATTCGGTTGGAGGCCGTCCCCGCAAGGTTGGAGGCCATCGCTGATAGGTTGGAGGCCATCGCTCTTAGGTTGGAGGCCATCCCAACTAGGTTGGAGGCCATCGCTGATAGGTTGGAGGCCATCGCTAGTAACTAGGTTGGAGGACATCCCAA